ATACCTGGGAACCATATGATCTGGGCTTGAATCCTGGACTAAGGTCTTTTATAACTTCGTACAAATTGAACTCTTAGTGCTTTTGTTTTCTTTTGAGAAAAAACTAGTTCTAATTCTTGGGCTGTTTGTACAGGATGTTAGTTACTGTTTTTGCTGTGACAAAATAAAGAATAGAAGTAACTTATAAAAGAAATGTTTGTTTTAGCACAGAAAGTTCTGATGGGAAGTAAGTGGTGGAATTTATGCTAGCTGGTTCTCATATCCCAAAGATTACATAACCTTCTATACAGAGCCCCCTGCCCCCAGCTGAGGATATAGTACTCAAACAAATGAGCCTGTAGTTTAGATTAGACTATATCATGTTGCGTATGGCCCCCAGAATATACAACTGTGTGATAAGGTACCAGAGTTCTTATGTTCTTACTAGTCTCAAGACTGTTTAAAAGCCCAAATTCCAAAGTCTCTAAGCTGTTAGATATGAGCCACTGTGAAAGAAAAGCCAAGCTGTACATTTCCAGTATACAACAGAAAAAAAAGTTTGCATTCCAAAATGGAGGAATTCTGCATCAAAAAAGACAGAATCCAGCAGGGTGACCACTAAACCCAAAGCTCCATTTTTGTCACGTGTGGGCTAGTGTTGACATTAGTTGGGCTCCAGTGGGCTTAGGTAGTCCCATTTCTGTGTATCTATTGCCTGTAGCATGTATAGGTTCTCTCATATTACTTACTGTCAGTGCCTATAGCTCTCCCTAGAAGAAATCCTATGTTCTTGACGTCTGTACTCCCTTGCATCCTGGGCTACAGTGAATCCAACTCAGCTACAAATTGCCTGTCTTTACTGATTGTTTTTGTAGACCTTGGTGCACGCCTCCATCCGTATAATTTTTACATTCCTTATGTTTTCATAATCAGCACTTTATGGTTGACACCAGTTCTCCTGCCAGTATAAGATGTATCTGGGGTCCTATGAGCCATTGCTGCAGTGATCACTATATGCCCATATGACTGAACCTGGTGTCTCTGAGCAAGATGCCTTGTAGGAACATTCTATGTCCCGGCACTCGTTCTTCAGACACTCTCCTTTTAAATGAAAGTCTTTCAGATGAGTGTCTTGTTCTCAAGGCGCCTGTGCAAAGCGTACACTTGCTCTTCATCTGCTGCCTCACCTCCCTGCCCTCTCCTATCCTCCCCTCCCCAACTTTTGTGTCCTCTCCTCAAGAAAGGCTCCTCAGCCCAGGCTGGCCTCAAAAATCATTATATAGCCAAAGATGATAGCAGGCATTGGGGGTGGGGGAGGGGAATGCTGTGTCTTTGTAACCACCACAGCCAGCACAGTTATTTATGATCTGCAGGAGGCAAGACAACAGCTTGGTTCATCCCAATTCAGTAGCTAGTGTTGGTTCAGATTTCAGGAATCTGACCTCTGAATGATTTATTTTAGGCTTATTTAAGAAAAACAAAATTTGTGACAAGTTTCCTGATAATAATTAACTCGATCCCATATGCACAGCCAAGCTGAAGCCATGACTACATTGAAACTCTTTGTAAAGTACATGTAACATCTTCCATAAAGATAGGTACTATAGACAAGTTTGTGATAAGCATCTGGGTAATAATCTGGGTTTGGCCACACAGTGTAAAGGTCACCAGACTATGAACCACTTCTGGTCTCAGCCTTCTGGAAAAAAATAGACTATACATCTCTCTCTTTATAGAAACATCTCTGTCTTAGTTAGCATTTATATTGCTGTGAAGAGACACCATGACCACAGCAACTCTTATGAAGGAAAACATTTAATTGGGACTGGCCTGCAGGCAGACATGGTAGTGTAGAAAGAGCTAAGAGTTGTACATATTGATCTGCAGGCAGCAGGAGGAAAAACTGTCTCATTGGGCATGATTTGAGCATCTGAGACCTGCAAACCTGCCTCCACAGTGACATACTTCCTCCAAGGCCACTCATGCTCCAAAAAGGCCAAACCTCTTAGTAGTGCCCCTTTTTATGGGCCACACATTCAAACACATGAGTCTATCTATGGGAGCCATACCTATTCAAACCACCACAACATCCCTGTGTGTTTAACATCCCTGATTCCCCTAGTGCTTATCTGTGAGCACAAGAATCTTCGTGCCTTCCAGCACTCTGAACTTCTGATCCTACAGCATCCTTCTCCCATGTGCTGAGATTATAGGGGTACACCACCACACCCAGTTTATGTGGTGCTGGAGATTGAATTTAGGGCTTCAATGCATGCTAAGCAAGTAATCAACCAACTGATCTACATCCTTGGCAGGTTATATGTTGTTTGCATTTTATGCACTGTGTTTTACTCAGAATTTTCAGTATTAACCTAGCTAAAAGCACTAAACAGTAAGTATGCTACATCCTTTATTCTATACTGTCTTAAAATTTTCTCTGCCCTGCAAGTCAGTCCATTGCATTGAATTCATCCTCACTCAGTTCTTAAGACATATTCAGTCTTAAGAGGATTTGCCAGATAGAGCATAATTGGGCTCTGACCCAAACCCTGATAGAGTTATTATTCATTTTGGAATTTCTTGAATGTCATTATGATCTGCATTTTTGTTCACATTCTGGTTTTCCCAAATGCCTACCAGAATCACCCAGTAAAGCCTGCTGATATTGTTCTAGGGCGTCTGTAGCTTACAGAAGCAAATTCTTCCACATTCCTCCTGCAAATTAGCTCTAAAGGCCTAAGAGCCATATTGTCATGGTTATCACATGACAGACTCCATTTCTCAGTTCTGAGTTTTGTATTTATTACATTACTCATTGCCGTGGCACAATCTGATAGAAGAAACTTGAGGAAGCAGAGATTTTTGACTCATACTTTCAATTCAACATGTCTGGGAAGACATAGTGAGTTCATGGCTGCCAAGATGTGTACTGGAAGCAGATAAACAAACACTGAATTTGACCAACATTAGAGAAAAATTCCACCTTCAGGGCCTGCCTACAATTTCCTTCTTCTGCTAGGCTACAGATCCCAGTGTTTCTAACACCTTCCCTAACAGTATTATCATCTGGGGACTAAATATTCCAACACTTGAGTACCTTGGGGACATTTCAGGTCTAAACCTTAGCACATAGTAAATTGTTTTCATTTATGTTATGTGCTCAGAACAGTGACAGGAGTGCAGTAAGTGCTTAGTTGGTAACCTCCTCACAATGGCAATGAACAGCTAGATGTCAGCATCTTAAAGAAAAGCATCTTGGGATTGTAGAAGATGATCAACAACTAAGCACACTTTTTCTCCTCACACAAGAGCAGGGTTTGGTTCCAGATAACTACATGGTAACTCACAACCATCTGCACCTCCAGCTCCAGTGCCTTGGATATGTCCTAATGCTCTCAGTATATGCCACTCACATAGTAGGCACACATGTATTTATACACTTAAAAGAAAAGAATACTAAAATCAAAATGTTTTATTTTGTCTTATCATTTTGAAGTTTCCAGGCTGCCATTGAGTATTTGTGTTACTTCTGGACTCTGACAAGGCAAGCGCAGTATGGTTGATGGTGGCTTGAAGGTGAAGTACTTTCTGCATAAGCACAATGACCTGAGTTCAGACCCTAAGCTTTCAGTCAAAATTTGCGTTTGTTGCACCAGTCATCCTAGCTTGGGGTCTAGGGATTGGGGAGCACAGAGATCTTTAAGCTCCAGGTTCAGTGAGAAATTCTGTCTCAGAAATAAGGTGAAAAACAATAGATGAAGATGCCTGACAGCCCAGCATCTGTCTCTTACATTACAAATGCACACATAGAACCCACAAGTGAAATTCTATATAGAATCCAAACAAAGTAACTTTTTCCATGCCATTTAATTCAAGCTTGGGATGAAGGAATTTACACTTTTATCCATGCCAGAGCCTATTTCTAGCATTTTACTTACAGATTCCTATAATCAGAGTTCTTGAGTCTCTTTAACAATTAAATTATAATTGATAGTTTTTTCAGAAATCTAGCATACTTTTTAACTGTTTACTGCAACATAAAGATTGCCACAAAATTAATTCTAGCTGTCTTTACTCTCAAGTTTCATTTTGACCATGAAATATCATCACTTTTCTGTATATTTATCAAGTAGGCCAGTGGACTGTTGAAGTATTGGAGGATTGTCATTGGGAAGAATCAGCCAGCGAGTGATGACTCTGCAGCTATATGAGAGTAACTGGAGCAACTGCAGTGTATAGCCTGTGAAGTCCTTATTGATGGAGAGAAGCAGGATCTTACAGATGTACCCATTAGACACTTTAGAGATGTGTTTGTTTAGAACAGAGGTCATCTCCAAGTGGAACATACCCCAGAATGTAGAGTTATGATTGGTTATAAAAACTCCCATTATTTGAAAGCCAACAGATGATCATGAGTAATGTAAGTGGCAAAACCAGGCAGCAGGCTTTACAGCAAGAATCTTGTTGGTGCTGGAGAAATGACTCAGTGGATAAGAGCACTGACTTCTCTTGCAGAGGACCTATTTTCTATTCCCAGCCTCCACATGATGGCTCACAACCATTTGTGAGTCCAGATCCAGGGTATCTGATGGCCTCCTCTGACTTCTAAAAGTATCAAGCATACATAACATGCAACCAAAAAAGTCATGCATAAGAAAAAAGAAGAAATCTGTCTTGAAAAAATGAATGTTGTTCAGTCCTCAAAAAGAGGAATTGTAGAGTTTTTCAAGTATACATGATGTTTTTATATATAAAATTCAATCTAACAGCTTCAAATCTTTGTATTGAGGGGACTTACTCTTTTCTTACATAGTGAAATGGAGCAGTTTGAAGAGCCTCAGGAGCCTGATGCACAGGTTTTCAGTACAGGGTTATTCCTACCAGCCTGGGCCACTATGTAGGATTAGTTTGTTGATTTTGTATCTCATATCCCCCTGTGTCCCCCAGTGTGTCTCCTAAAAAGACTAGTTCTCTGTAAGTGACCTTTTATTGATGTCCCCAAAATCTTTCCTTCTGTCTAGGGTGAGCCCATCAGCTTCTGTGAGGAGAGCTTCGTAAAGCACCGCTCGAGTGTGATGAAACAGTTCCTGGAAACTGCCGTTAACCTTCAGCTCTTCAAGCAGGTAAGAGTGAGCCTGCACCCGTTTGTCTCTCTGGAAAACACTGCCGTTCAGCACATTTCTGCCACCCTAAAACTACATCCAAGGGACAGAATCCTTGTCCCAAGAAAAGTTTTTTTTTCTGAATTGGGGAGTTGTCTTTGTGTTTTAAACAGAAGAGTGCCTCATAGTAGTCCTGTGGTGGAACCCTCTGGAAGTACTGTATACTGTTGAAGCTGGGAGTAGGATAATAGTCTCTTTGAGGGAAGAGCCCTGAAAGCATATATACAAGTAACACTGCATAGACTGAGCAGGCTATATTTAGGAATACACACACACACACACACACACACACACACACACACACACACACACCAATGAAAAAGAGACTGAATTTGAAAGAGGGAAGGAGGGGCATCTGAGTGGGTTTAAATAGAGAAATAGTATAATTATTTTGGGCATATGGAGTGTTTGGGAGATGGAATGGGAAGGGAGAAATGATGAAATTATAATCTCAAAATGAAATAAGAATATCTTAAATGTCTCAAGAGAAGCTGATAAGCTCAGGTATGCATTAAGGAAGGCTATCCAAAGAAGTGGGTCAACATGCTGAACAGACTGAGATCATCACAGTATAATCCAGTTTATAGTATAATTCAAAATCACATTTATAGTGTATGTCCTGAGTTTTGTTCAGGAGATCTAATTGCTATTTCAGAATAGCAAACATTGACATCAAAATTCAGACACTTTAGTTCAGGGACACTGGCTCTTTTATTTATTTATTTATTTTTGTGACAGGGTCTCATTATGTAACCTTTGCTGGCCTGGAATGTGATAAGCAAAAGGATGTCCTTCTCCTCACAAAGATCTGCTTGCCCATGCCTGCCAGGTGCTGGGACTAATGGACATGTCTTTTCTTTTCTTTTTCTAAATGTTTCTGAGGGATGCCTATGTGAGTCTATGTGTATTGAATGCTTACAGGAGTTCTTGGAGGTCAGGGAAGTCAGATAGGAACTGAGCCCTGACCCTCTACAAGAGCAGAGAGTGCTTCTAAATGCTGAGTCATCTCTGCAGCTCTGAGCAGTAGTCTTTATCCCTTTGTACTATGTGACCATAAGTATTTTACATTAGGTTGTCTTCATTTCTAGTTACATGATCTAAATTTACTTATTGCCACTTGATTTTCTTATTCCACATGATGATTTCAAATATGAAGCTAGCTCTGTGCATTTACTCATACCTACTCTGTGTTGTAAACAGTTCAAGGCCGGGATTCAAACACGCAATGCCTTTGAGAAGACACCAGACTGATAAAACTGTGGAGAAAACGCCATAGAATTTAAAATTATCTTCAAATCTATTGTTTGATGAATTAAAAAATAATCTATGGCTAGATTGTACTCTGTGGTAGTAGACCTGTTTTCTAAATAGTAAGATTTTACCTTAAGGAAAGGCATACATGACAGAGATGTGTGAATTTCCTAAGATGGGGCTGTTCCTTTGATCTCCCTGTCTCTTTTTGTCCCCAAGCTAGTACTAAATTAAATGCTGGAACATAAGCATGCAGTCCCCAAATCACTTAATATGTACGCAAGTTGTCACTACCTTCTTTGGGTGTGTTTTCTATTCTACAGAGAAGCTATACCACATTCCATAATTAAAAATGAGTTGTGGACTAAAGACATGACTTGGGGTAAAGGTACTTGCCACCACACCTGACAGCCTGAGTTCTATCCCTAGGACCCACAGGGTAGAAAGGAGAGAACCAATGCCAGCCATTTGTTCCTGCCTGCCATATATTCACTGAGACAAGCGTGTGACACACACACTCTAATTTAATCAAAATCAGTTGAGAGGACCAGATTCGTCTCTCATCCTTTCTTTTGACGATGAGATTCTGTAACTAGATCCATCCAAGTTAATATAGCATAATAAATTTTGTTTTAAAGCATTTAAAATATGTTTTATTTTAAAAGCAATCTGTTTCAATAGTCATGTATAGTTTAATCTTAATTTTATCATGAGTACATATTTTCTTTTTCTAGAAAATAGAAACATTATAAATTTCACAGGATTGTGAAGAAGTTCATAAGAACAGCTTGCAGCTGCTCAGCAAATTTTATTACCTGCCTCATTTTACAATAATAAAATACAAATATGTGTATTATTGCTATGAAAGTATTGCTTGATCAGTAATCCTGTGTGTATGGGCTGAAGAGATGATTCACTGTTAAAATGCTTGCTGTTTTTCATACAGCAACATGTTTGTTGGCTCCTATAATTCAACTACTGGGAATCTGAAGCCCACTATGTGGCACACCTCACACAGGCACAAAAACATAACAAAGGCAGTAAGATCTTTAAAAATGTTTAATATGAAAGTGAAAATGCCCATTGACAGCAAAACCGTCATAAGGACAACTTGACTAGTTTCATACAGACAAATGCACCATCATATAGAATTCATACCAGTTGATGTCTCATAAAGAAATATTGACAAAGATGACATTTAGAAATTATATCATGTTTTTTCTCTTAAGAATGCAATACTTGAAGATGGCTGTGAAATAAATTAAAAGATTCTTGTTGAGATTAATATACTTCTAAAAGGAGAGCCATTTGATAAACACATGTATCTTCAGAGATATTTCTGTCGGGATGGAGAGAAGAAAATGGTGGGCACTTTGTACATGGGATTGCTCTCCATCATAAGGAATTGGTATTTATTAAGCCTCTAAAATTACTTAGGGTCTTTCTTAGCAATAATTGTGCTTACAAATTATTAGTTCTTGGATCCACAGCGGTAGCATGTAGTTTTAATGTAATAATTAACATGAACTTATTTCTGGCAATATGACAAGGTAGAGCCAGAAAACTGTTTTAATGAAGGAATCTAAAATGCAGCAGCAAAAGACAAAGACCAGCATTCATCTTTCCTGGAAATAAAGGGTGGAGGAACTAGATAAAAGTTGACCTGAAATAAAAGAGATGGCTGCTCTCACCTGTTTCCTAAAGTTTTAAGGTAAACTAACTCTTAACATGATTGAACAGACAAGAAGACAAATTATGAATGGCAGCTAGAAGGATCATGAGTAGTCACTGACTCAGAGAGGGTCTTAGTACTGTCAGAATCAGAAATAGAATAAAAATACCCACAGTTACACATCAGAATATAAGCAAAAACTAGTTTTAAAAATATGTAGGAATACCATCTTTAAAGAATGTAAAGTCTACTACAATGGTGTAACAAAATTCCATCAAAGGAGAATATACCTACTGAACTTAAAGGAAACAGAATTCTTGAACTGAAGATCTATATGAAGTAGCAACCATCCATGATATAGTACATAGTGACAAAAATAGATAATGTAGGTAGAGTAATCCCAATAGGTAGGACAGAAAACAGAGCATAGACAGCAGTTGCAAGAGTCATACCTGAACCAATAAAATACTCCATTTTGTTGATCTTTGAAGTTCAGTATATCCAAATAGAATAAAGAAGAGATTCGTATCCACACATAATACATTTCTATCATAAAGTACTAGAGAAAGAGAGGAGAGGTTTATGTGCACATGCATGCAGTGCCCACAGATCTAAGATGAGCATGTTAGCGCCCCTACAGCTGGAGTTACAGGAGACTGTAAGCTTCCCCAGAGTGGATGTTGGGAACTGAACTCTGATCTTTTGGAAGAGTTGCAGGTGCCTTTAACTGCTAAACCATCTCTTCAGTCTGGGGAAATTTTGTAAATGAATAGGTTGTAATGTAATAGAACACTACAGCAGAGAAATAAATGAACTGTAGTAAAAGTGAAAATGAATTATGTCCTTTAATGTAACGTCCAAACAAACAAAAATCATATTTATGATATATGATTATGTTATATAATAAAAATATGACAGAAACCATATAGAAAGGCAAAGAGAAGCTGAAGCAATTCTGGTCTTTTTGGTAGAGAGAGGCTGTGCTAGTTAATTTTTTAATAAATTACAAACATGCTAGAGGAGGGAACCTCAACTGAGAAAATGCGTCCATTAGACTGGGCTGTACGAAGCTTGTAGGATATTTTCTCAATTAGTGATTGATGTGAGAGGGTCCATCACATTGTGAATGGAGCCACCTCTGGGCTTGGTCTTCCTCGGTGATAACAGAAAGCAAACTGAGCAAGCCATGGGTAGCAAGCCAGTGAGCAGCACCCTCCATGGCCTCCGCATTGGCACCTGCCTCCAGGTTCCTTCCTTAATCCCTGTCATACTTGCTAGATAATGGACTTCAAGCTGTACAGGCAGTAAAGGCTTTCCTCAGCTTACGTGTGGCCATTGTGTTTCATCACAGCAAACGAATCCCTAGACAGAGGCACAGAGAGGAACCTGTAAGTCCTTTTTACCATTAATTAACTTCAATTGTAGTATTTTATATTTGATTTGGAAACCTTTATTGTCAGTAACTAAATGTTTAAGGGATTCAGTATGATGGTTTGACACATAGTCACACAGACACATAGTTGTAACCACATACAGAGTGTGGGATGATCACATTCTGTAGCTATCTATAATCTGACATAGTTTTTGATAGTGAAAACACACAACAGTTACACAGAAAATTTAAACTAAATACTAAATTATGGTGAACTGTGGTAACAGTGTTAAAAATAGTTCTCAGGAACTCTTCTTGTGTTCATCATCCTTGCATTCCCAGCCTGCAGCTAAGCAGTTTCTTTCTTTAACAAAGCATCAATTGCTACCTGCTTTATTTTAACATTAGCATTGACTAGTGAGTATTTAAATTCAGTATTAATTTTGCTAAGCATTTTATGGAGGCATTTGTTTTTGTCATGTCTCCATACTAGGTTCTAAAGGGTTGTTTTTTCACTGACATTTGACTTGTAAATCCCCAGGCCCTCTGGTTCCACTTCTGTGAGGTGAGTTAAACTTGAATGCAAAGCCTCAGATGCCTTTTGCCTCTTATATTTCATGATACTATGAAATAAACACATAGCTTAGACAGACGACAGTGGGCTCC